TGTGAACAGTATTTAGAAAAAGGTGGGAAAAGTTTTTATTGCATTTATGGATTTAGAAAAGGCATATGATAGAGGGATAGAGGAGCAATGTGGCAGATGTTGCAAGTATATGGAATAGGTGGTAAGTTACTAAATGCTGTAAAGAGCTTTTATGAGGATAGTGAGGCTCAGGTTAGGGTGTGTAGAAGAGAGGGAGAATACTTCCCGGTAAAAGTAGGTCTTAGACAGGGATATGTAATGTCACCATGGTTGTTTAATATATTTATAGACGGGGTTGTAAAAGAAGTAAATGCTAGGGTGTTCAGGAGAGGGGTGGGATTAAATTATGAGGAATCAAATTCAAAATGGGAATTGACACAGTTACTTTTTACTGATGATACTGTGCTTATGGGAGATTCTAAAGAAAAATTAAAAAGGCTAGTGGATGAGTTTGAGAATGTGTGTAAAGGTAGAAAGTTGAAAGTGAACATAGAAAAGAGTAAGGTGATGAGGGTATCCAATGATTTAGATAAAGAAAAATTGGATATCAAATTGGGGAGGAGTATGGAAGTAGTGAATGTTTTCAGATACTTGGGAGTTGATGTGTCGGCGGATGGATTTATGAAGGATGAGGTTAATCATAGAATTGATGAGGGAAAAAAGGTGAGTGGTGCGTTGAGGTATATGTGGAGTCAAAAAACGTTATCTATGGAGGCAAAGAAGGGAATGTATGAAAGTATAGTAGTACCAACACTCTTATATGGGTGTGAAGCTTGGGTGGTAAATGCAGCAGCGAGGAGACGGTTGGAGGCAGTGGAGATGTCCTGTCTAAGGGCAATGTGTGGTGTAAATATTATATATATACTATTTTTTTTACCAATAGGAATATTTTATTACATAATATGGTACAGAAGATTTAAGAGATACATTGTTGATATATATATACATATATATATATGTATATGTCATTTCAGCAGAGCCTTCAACATAGGAGGGATGTGGGTGGCCCTTACTGTTATGTACAAGGCCAATATTGTCAAAGTACCACACTTGGATCCACTTCGAGGACAGCGTGAAACAAGCTTTTATGCCACAAGACGGGCAGAAAGCAGCAACTTCACTCTGGCTGTACCCTTCTCCAGAACATCACTCTGAGATCATATATACCCAGGATGAATCAAGTATGGAACACATTCGTACAGCATAATGATGTCAATGAGATAAAGTCAGTTGATCAAATGAAAATGCTGGCCCACAGATGGCTCCAACTTCTTCCTGTTCCCTACTTGTATGTCTCATAACAATAAAAATGCTTTCAAATGAGCTGATGTAGGTAACAGCTCTTAGCTTGCCAATAAAGTTAGGAATCCTTAACCTGTAAATAGCTTGTCAATAAAGTTAGGGATCCTTAACCTTGTCAAACCCTGTGTAAAAAAAAAAAAAAAAAAAAAAAAAAGACACACACACACAGACAGAGACAGAGAGACAGAGAGAGACAGAGACAGAGAGAGACACACACACAGAGACAGAGAGACACACACACACACACACACACAGACAGACAGAGAGAGACCACACACACAGAGACAGAGAGACACACACAGAGAGACAGAGAGAGAGAGAGACAGAGACAGAAAGAGAGACAGAGAGAGAGAGATTCACACAGGTTTAACACTTAACGAACTAGTACATAAATAATTCAGGGAAGATATGGCAAAGGTTAGGAATTCTACAACTTACGTTTGATATCAAAGTTCCTTAGTTTTCGTCGTAACAAAATTCCTGACCAGACATTAATGCGGTTCTTCTTTAAAAAATCCTTCTTGATGTGTCTGTGAGTGAGCCTCTCCAATGTCACAGATGCTGTTTTTACACAAACTGGAATGCAGATTATATGAGCTTAATATTAAACACCAATAGCCTCAAAATATGTAATACAATTTTTTAAAGATTAAACCTCAAATTTCTTAAATATAATGCCTCTTTGAAAACATTAAGATGCTGTATTGAAAGACAAAGGAATTTCAAAAGCACCCTGCTGTCTACTGCATATCCCAAAGTGATGACTGCCTAAAAGAACACAAGTCACAATAGCTGGAACAATTCACATCAAATACCCAAAATGAAAACTGGATTGGACCCTATTTTAGAGATGGGCAATTAAATATGGTGCATGCTGGAAAATTAAGTAGATTGTTGCCACCTGAGATAACAGGATGTTCATCCTACCTGTACTAATAATCTGTTTGTGCTGCAGTGGAGTCAGTGAAGAATCCAGAAAAACCCTAGCGTAGGGTAGCCGAGAAATCTTCCTCTTTCGTGGTTTTGCAGGTATGCGTGAAAGTTCTGCACTTAGTCTGCTTAGTGCCATACTGCCACTGCAATTACCCTGTAAAATTTCTTTAGGTGCATATAACGAATCTGCATAGGTTTTGGTGTGCGGGGCTTCTAAATGTGCTGATGTGCTGCTGCCATTCACCTTCTCATGAGAGGACTCAGCTTTATGTATAATTGTTGATCTCACCCCAGCTGGTCCAATGTGTACTCTTACCTTTTTAAAAATAGAAACAGGTCTATCTTCATTTGTCAGGGACTCCACAGCTTTCAATTTGTACTTTTTACCATGTAAAGCTTTACCAGATACACAATTTTTTATTTGTCTCTTAACCAGTTTTAAAGTGGTAATTTTGTTCTTTGATGTCTTTGGGATTAAGGTGAACTTTTTGTTCAGTGATCCATTTGACCCCAAGAAAGATCCACTGATGGGTTTTTTTTTAGGCTTTAACTTTTTACCTAAATCTTCATGAGCCTTTTCTTGTCCTCCATCAAGACTTGTGCCTGAAAATACAAAGGGTAAATTTGCAAGTCATTTCTTCAAACAATTTAACAACTTCATAATATTTTTACTGAAGGTTATTTCCTGCCAAGGTCATTCAAAGAAAACTAACTGAAATACAACGTGTAAATCATGGTATTTTATTATTGTAGCCATTTTGTCCATGAGGGACTCCATGAACTCATAAGGAGAATAAGACATAAGTATATACAGTGGACCCCAGCATACCGGACGCCTTGCATAACGGACAATCCGCATACCGGACGCTTTGATCGCTAAAATTTTGCCTCGCATACCGCCCAAAAACCCGCTCAGCGCCCTTCGTCCGAGACGCGTCCAATATGCGGCCTGCGCCAGCCTCATATGTTCCGCCGGTGGCATTGTTTACCAGCCAGCCTCCGCGGTAACATTCAAGCATACAATCAGAATATTTCGTATTATTACAGTTTTTTTTGGGTGCTGTTTCTGGAAAATAAGTGACCATGGGCCCCAAGAAAGCTTCTAGTTCCAACCTACAGCAATAAGGGTTAGAATTCCAATAAGAGAAGAAAAGAGATCATTGATAAGTAGAAAGTGAGTGCGTATCCCCGACCGGGCCCAGGTTGTACAAAAAAACCCAAAATCAACCATCTCTACTATTGTGGGCAACAGAAAGGAAATCAAGGAAGCTGTTCTTGCCAAAGGTTTAACTGTTTTTTCGAAACAAAGATCGCAAGTGATGGAAGGATGTTGAGAGACTCTTATTGGGTGGATAAATGAAAAAACAGCTAGCGGGAGATAGCGTCTCTCAAGGATCATAGCGAAAAGGCTAGGAAGTTGCATGAGGATTTAATTAAAAAAAGGCCTGCAACTAGTGATGATGTGAGTAAATTTAAGGCCAGCAAAGGTTGGTTTGAGAGATTTAAGAAGCGTAGTGGCATACATAGTGTGATACGGCATGGTGGGGTGCCAGTTCGGACCACAAAGCGGCTGAAAAATATGTGCAGGAATTCAAGGAGTACATAGAAACCGAAGGACTGAAACCTGAACAAGTGTTTAATTGTGATGAAACAGGGCCCGTTCGGAAGAAAATGCCAACAGGACCTACATTAACTCAGGAGGAAAAGGCACTCCCAGGACATAAGCCTATGAAGACAGGCTTACTTTGTTGATGTGTGCAATGCAAGTGGTGATTGCAAAGTTAAGCCTTTATTAGTGTATCACTCTGAAACTCCAGAGCGTTCAGGCAAAAAATGTCCTCAAGGATAATTTGTGTGTGCTGTGGAGATCAAACAGTAAGGCATGGGTCACTAGGGACTTTTTCATAACTGGTTACACCATGCATTTGCCCCAATGTCAAAGATTACCCAACTGAAAAGAAAAATTGAACTTAAGTGCCTCCTGGTGTTAGACAATGCCCTGGTCATCCTACAGACGTGGCAGAGCGACTTTATGGGGACATGAGCTTCATTAAGGTGAAGTTTTTGCCTCCTAATACCACTCCTCTCCTGCAGCCCATGGACCCAGGTTATTGGCAAACTTCAAAAAACTGTACACAAAAGCTCTGTTTGAAAGGTGTTTTGTAGTGACCTCAGAAAAATCAACTGACTCTAAGAGAGTTTTGGGGAGATCACTTTAATATCCTCAATTGTATAAACCTTATAGGTAAGGCTTGGGAGGGAGTGACTAAGAAGACCTTGAACTCTGCTTGGAAGAAACTGTGGCCAGAATGTGTAGACAAAAGGGATTTTAAGGGTTTGAGGCTAACCCTGAGAGGAGTATAACCAGTTGAGGAATCAATGTGGCATTGGGGAAATCCTTGGGGTTGGAGGTTTTGTGGGGAGGATGTGGAAGAGTTTGGGGAGGGACAATAAGAACTAACCACTGATGAGCTGATAGATCAACTTCAAGAAACAAGAGGCCAGACCTGGGGAAACTGGTTTAAAGGAGGGAGAGGAATTGAAGAATTGCCTACTTCAAAGATTAAGGAAAGTGTGCGAAATGGCTTGAAGTGCAAACCTTTTTTGATGAAAATCACCCTCACACAGCTATTGCAAGCCGTGCTGGTGACTGTTAAAAATGACAATGTTGTGAAACCCCTTTAGACAAATCAAAAAGGAACGAGAGGTACAGGCCACTATGGACAGATATGTTGTGCGAAAGAAGTCCAGTGACTCTGAAGCTGGGGCCTAGTGGGATTAAAAGAAGAAGGGAAGTAACCCCAGAAAAGGACTCGACACCTCAAGTCTTAAGGAAGGGGATTCCCCCTTCTAAACACAACACTCTCTCTCCCCTCCTCCCATCCCCTCAATCATCACCAGATCTTCAATAAAAGTAAGTGTCATGTAATTGTGCATACCTTTTTCAGTTTGTGTGTACTAAAATTAACATTCATGTGGTAAAAAAATTTTTTTTTCATACTTTTGGGTGTCTTGCACGGATTAATTTTATTTCCATTATTTCTTATGGGAAAATTCATTCACATACCGAACATTTCGCATAACAGCCAGCCCTCTTGCACGGATAAGGTCGCTATGCGGGGGTTCCAATGTACTAGAGGTTGGGAAGAGGTAAGAGGTTCTAGTAGTGTTGGGACATTTCATGATAAAATGCCGTAATAGGTACACTGTCATTATTTATTATATATTTATATATATATATATATATATATATATATTATATATATATATATCATATATTAGATATATATATTATATTTATATATATTTATAATATATATATATATATATATTATATATATTCATATATATATTATTTTATTATTATCACACTGGCCGATTTCCAACCAAGCCGGGTTGGCCCGAAAAAGAAAAACTTTCACCATCATTCAACTCCATCAATGTCTTGCCAGGAAGGGAGACTTTACACTTACAGTTTTTAAACGGACAACATTAACACCCCTCCTTCGAGTGCAGGCACTGTATTCCCATCTCCAGGACTCAAGTAGGCTGCTTGGTTTCCTTGAACCCCTTCATAAATGTTACTTTGCTTCACACTCCAACAGCACGTCAAGGTTATTATAAACTCATTTGTCTCCATTCACTCCTATCAACGCGCTCATGCATACCTGCTGGACGTCCAAGCCCCCCTCGCACACAAAACCTTCTTTACCCCTCTCTCCAACCTTTCCAGCGGACCCCTACCCCGCCTTCCTTCACTACAAGACCTGATACTCTCTGAGTCATTTGTTTCGCTCCATTTCTCTCTACATGTACGAACCACCTCAACAACCTTCCTCAGCCCTCTGGACAACGTTTTGGGTAATCCCGCACCTCCTCTCTAACTTCCAAACTAGAAATACTCTGCATTATATTCACACATCACATTGCCTCAGACATGAACATCTCCACTGCCTCCAGCCTTCTCCTCGCTGCAACATTCATACACCATGCTTCACACCCTATAAGGAGCGTTGGTAAAAACTATACTCTCATACATTCCCTCTTTGCCTCAAGGACAAAGTTCTTTGTTCTCCACAGACTCAAAGTGCACCACTCACTTTTTTCCTCATCCCCCCAATTCTATGATTAACCCTCATCTTTCATAACCCAATCACGCTGACACGTCCACTTCCCAAATATCTGAATACATTCATCCACCTCCATACTCTCTCCCTCAATCTGATATTCAATCTTCATCACCTAATCTTTTTTGTTATCCTCATAACCTAATACTTCTTTCCTGTATTCACCTTTAATTTTTCTTCTTTTGCACACCTACAAAATTTCATCCACTATCTCTGGGCAACTTCTCTTCCAGAATCCCCAAGAGCACAGTGTCATCAGCAAAGAGCAGCTGTGACAACTCCCCTTTGTGTGTGTAGTTCTTATCTTTTAACTCCACGACCTCTTGTCATAGACCCTCGCATTTAGCTTCTCTTAAAAAACCCCAGCTATAAATTTATTATACAACCACCGGTGACAATCACACATATTGTCTAAGGCCTTCTTTTACTGGGAGGAATAATTTCCCTCTTCCTACATTACTCTACTTGAGCTCCACTATCCTCGGTAAAAAAACCTCTTCACTGCTTTCAGAACCTACCTCCTAACCTTACACTTGCAACATCTGCCAATTGACCCCCTATCCACCTGTCAAAAGCCTTTTCCAAATCCATAAATGCCACCAAAGACATCTTAGCCTTATCTAAATACTGTTCACTTATATGTTTCATCGGTCAACACCTGGGTCCCACACACCCCCCTACCCTTCCTAATGCCTCCTTGTTTCATTCTGCTATCCATTCTCCATCTTACTCTTAATTCTTTCAATATAACTCTCCATACACTTTAACAGGTATACTCAGCAGATTATCCCCCTATAATTTTTGCACTCCTTTTATCCCCTTTGCCTTATACAAATGAATATGCCTGCTCTCTGCCATATATATTATATATATATATTATATATATATATATATTATATATATATATATTTTATATAATATATATATACACACACACACCACACAACACTCAACAACACCATCAGGGAGTGCTACCGTCCTGCCAGTGTGTGTTACAACTGAAAGCTGTAATTGTTTTACATGATGGTAGGATTTGCTGGTGTCTTTTTGTCTGTCTCATAATTATGCCAAGGATTTCCAGGTACATCTTGCTACTTCTACTTACACTGGTCACACTACACAACCATGTACAAGCGTATATATATATACCCCTCTGAATTTTCTTCTATTTTCTTTCTAGTTCTTGTTATTGTTTATTTCTCTTATTCTCCAGGGGAAGTGGAACACAGAATTCTTCCCTCCCTTATCCATGCGGTTGTAAGAGGCGACTAAAATGCTGGGAAGCAAGTGGCTAGTAACCTTCTCTCCTGTATATATTACTAAATGTAAATGGTAGGAAAAATTTTGTTTTTCCTTTTGGGCCACCCCGCCTCAGTGGGATACGGCCAGTGTGTTGAAAGAAAGAAAGATACATGCAAAACAACCACTGTGAAAGAGTAGTGAAATTCCAAGCGCTTTCGTGACTACTCACATTGT